AACACATTTAACTGAGCCTCAAAGTGAATTCATTCCTCGTACAGGTCCCGGGAATGTTTGGAAAATTTGAAGTATGAGAATATGACGGCTGCGCAAGCATTTGAGCCTTCTCAACCTCTAAGGAGGCCACCTGGTCCTGAAGGAGGGAGTTGTCTCTCTCCATTACCCCAATCCTCTGATCAAGCCACTGTTTTTTAAGTCTTGTCGTCTCCAAGTCGCTCTTTCGCTCAGAACGGAGAGTCCGTATCACTACCTCAAAGCCCTCCGCCTTCCTCGAATCAACCGACCAAGCAGACTCCGCCCTCTCCAACTCATTTTGCTTCTCTGTAATCTCGTCGTGAAGAACCTCCATCTGCAGACGACACTCCTCTAACTGCATGTGCAACTCGACCACTTGTGTTTGGAGATCGCCACATTTAGCCTCCACGTCCCTGCTAACCTCGAGCTCTTCCTTTTTATTTCTCAGTGTCCTCTCAAGGACGTTGCACTTCTCGATGACCCCCACCAGCTCGTCATCCTTCTCCTTCAGTTCATCCTGAAGAGCCTACAAATTGTCGCCCTCACCCGGTACTTGCCACGGTACTCACGGGATTTCCCTACAACTTCATAAAAATAGCCTTACGCCTCTCCTCACTTCGGGCGCTTTCAATTTCCAAGATCATGGTTTGAAATAGAAAGAAAAAAAAAAGAAGGACAAAGTAAGAACGAAGCCTAATATTTTGAACATAACAGACAGAAACAAAAAGCGTCGAAAATCTTACCCTGAGAGCGAGGTCGGCTATGCTCCTCGATAAAGTAATACCATCCAGATCTTAGAGGGTTCGACCCTCCACGTCGGAGCAAAGGGGATCGTGAGAAGAAACCACATCTTCCATATTCTTTAATAAATCCTAATCCATGTGGATCGCAATGGTCTGCGTGGACCCCTCCAGTCTCACCTAGATCTAGGTAAATCCCTCCTCCATTATCCTCATCTTAGCAGCGTCGAGATCAGAACCCTTCTCGTAGCCATCTTCGGCAACACCTTTGCCTTTCCCGTCAGCCGGTGAAGAAGCATCGTTAGTCGGTTTCGATGTCGACGGACCCTCCTGCCGCAAAATATCATAAGCCACAACGGCCGGCCCTTTGGCTCCTATTGCCACAAAGGGAAGAGATATACCATCAATGACCTCCACCTATATCGGAACCTCAGACGCCAGCTCAACGTCATCTTCAAGTATTATTGTCGCCGTCTCGTACATGACAAAATTATCCATTACGGAATCTACAACCTAGGAAACCCCGTCACCAACATCCACCGACCTTCTCTTGCGAGGAACCAAATTCCCGTTGTTTGGCGACAATTCCTCCTTCTCATCCACAAGACGGAACAAAGGAGAAGCCCCAAGTCCGTTGTCAAAATATTTTTAGATGGAGAAGAAACTCATATTGAGGCAGCGGTAGACGTTGCCGAAGATCGAGTAGACCTAGCCGCGATCGAGGAGGGAACAGAAGCAGGTTAATGAGTAGGCCTAGCCGTGGTCAAAAGGAGGATAGACGTCGAAGGGGAGGCAACTTTCCTCTTACGGAATGCAGGAGGGGGAGCTCTCGACCTCCTTGAAGATCCTCGGGCTGGAAAAACAAGAATCGAAATAAAGTTATCATTATCATCAAAAGCAAACTATAAGAAGTAGGCGACTAAGAGGCCAAAACAAAAAAAAATAGACAAACTCACCGATCAAGGAAGGAGTAGGCTCGAACTTCTTAAAAAAAACCCGGCCACTCGCGAATTCCAACAGAGTGAGGCAGAACCCGGCCAATCCAATCATAAATGTCCCCGACCAAAGGAGGGGGCGTAATCTTGGCTGCACAAGAAGGGAACAAGAGTTCAGAACCTACGACTAAAAAGGAAGATCAAATGTTTTAACGAAGAAAGATTAGACGCTTACGAGTATAATTCCAAGTCTCGGGCAAGCCGTCCGCGTTGGCCACCACGTATTTGGTTCTGAAATAAAAACAATTGTGCCAGAACTGACAAATCGCCTTGTCATCCATCTTCACCACCAGGCATTTTCCCCCTCGATGGAGAAGGTTCAACATTGTCCCCCTATAGAAACTAGGGGTGAAGAGATGCATCAGATGCCGGAGTGTGATCTCGACCCTAGCGAATTACGCAAATTTAGTAAGCATCCTGATGAGCTTGTAGATATATGGGGCCAGTTGAGCCGAGCAAACGCCATAGTAACAGCAAAATTCCTCCGCCAATGGGAGAAGGGGAAGGGCGTAGCCAACCTAGAAGGGGTATGCGTAGAACGCACAATACCCGGGGCGGTGGATTGTACCACATCTTGCTCTGCAGGGACCAAATCGATGTGAGCGGGAATATTGAATTTAGCCCTAAGCTCTGCTAGATCAGCCTTTTTCATCACCGACTCAGAGGCCTCGAGCTCGTCCTCAGGCGCCTTTGAGAAGTCATACCTAACTTTCTCATCACGAGGAATTATTTCTTCCACCGTAGGAAAATTCTCGTCTTCAATGGAAACAGAGACTCCATCAGCATGAGGAGGCATAATCACCGCCGAGGGAACAAGGTTATTTCCCTCACACGAACCAGAGGACACATTAGCCATAGTTGAGACAAAAGAAAAGATATTCAAGTGAAAAGGGGTTAAAAGCAACAAGAGTCGCTAGAACCAGGAAAGAAGACACACAACAATGGAGTAAGGAGAAGGAGGCGCAAGGATTCAATGTTAAAAATACGTAAAGAACGAATGAATGCCCTCACATCCCTATTTATAAGAATTTGGGCATCAAAACCAAGAAATTATGCCATCATTACTCAGCACTGGAATCGTAATAGCAGTCCCAACCGAAAGACGCACGGGAAACAACGTAAAATATCGGAAAAACGCGTCATGATGATACATGATGTCATGACATCACTCTGGTGTAGAAATGACGTAACCCTAAAAGTTACGGCCCACGAAAGGTCACGTCGTCAGCTCGTCTCAAACATCACTACCCGACCCACTCGTCCAATCTTCTCGACCACAAAAAACAGAATCCGCTCATCAAGGTCGTCTGAGGCCGGCCTCAATAAGCGGAGGGAGTAACTGTAAAGGTCAAAATCTGCCCTAGAATATTTAGGGCAAGGTAACATTGAGAAAAGAGTCGGTTGAGGTCGACCAGAAAACAGCGGGACTCATGGTCGAGGTGTCAACAATGGTTGAGGTCGAGTATCACAGAAAGAGTTGTAACAACTAGTTTTTAGAATAGGTTATCAAAGAGAATATTCTAGTGGACATTTTCTCCACTTATACTATTATGGTTTGTTAGGGATATGTCCCATATAAATAGGAAAAAAGGCAATAAATGAGGGCATGTGACATTTATTAGATAAGAGCAGACTTTTGATATAAGACTCTCTCTCTCTTGTAAAGATACAAACATCATCTTTTCATCAAGATTTTTGTTTATATTATTTCATACTTTTCCATCAGATCCGAGAATAATTCGAACATTCTAGGATTTGTCTGTCACTCATCATTGTCATGATGAACAATCATCTAGTTCATCCTTTATTGGGTGAATCACTTTTCCTATTTACTTAAATGTCATTTATTATTATTTATTGCTAGTTATTTCTCCATTATTGCTCAGACTTTTTAGAATATTTAATACACGTTATCAATCCACCACCAGATCTATTTAATGTTAGCCACATTTTCGAAACTCACATCTAGAGATATTATTATTAACTAAGTTTAACGCATCATTATATAAATACAACCGTTTTAGCCTAAAAATATATTTTTTGGTCAAACATTGCCAATGTTAGATTGTGCCCTTCTTTTTTTGGGCTTCTGTTAGAACGTGGATATAAATGGTATAAATGGTTATTAATTAGTGCTTCTATACTGTGTTTAATTTCCTCCTCTTTCAAAATTCAGTAGGAAAAAGGAATCTTGAAAAAAGTTGCTTCAAGGGGCCACATGTGTTGGATTAGTCTTTTGTCCTAAATATCGAGGCAAGGGAGCTCGAGCAGTGGCACCCTGAAAGGGTTTTGGAACTTGTACATAATAAGTTTCTCTCCCAGAGTTAGATTTAGATCTGAAGCAAAATCCAATGCCAGACTATATCTTGCTTTTCATTTCCGTTAAAGCAATTCCTATTTAATGTTCAATATATAGGACTAACCTGAATTAATTTGGAATGGAAATTAAAGATCGATTCAACATTTCTTCCATCAAGAAATTTCGACACGCTGAGACTGCAATATCTCTTCTTCTTTTTCTTCTTTTTGTGTGGATACACTTGACAAAGTTATTTGATTTGTTGCATGGTTTTGCATCTTTGATGCCTAACAGAATTAATACGAAAATTTTACCAAATTGTGAATGAAATGACTGAACGATCAAAAGGAGAGGTCAACAAAAATAATTTCAGTTACCCTTTAATCTCAAGTCCGGAATTAACCATTTCGAAGTCAATGGTAAATCATCAATGGAGTTTGAAAACCTAGTAGTAATTTCTAGGTACAAAAGTGATTCAAGTTGAGAGGAGGAGTAGAATAATTTGTAGAGAGTATTTTGGAGGCAACAATTGCATTAGCATACTCAGTGTAATGAACTCCGTCCCAGCTGATATATGCAGAGCCATCCTCACACAAACTATACCCACTTTGGCGACACGTTATGTTGGAATTATAGTTGTAAGGCGGACCACCATAACCACAACACACCATCAATGGATTTTGAATACCTATTATCACACACGAATTTAGAATTTGTAATCAGTAAATGCAGAATGCAAACTTAGTTTAAAAATAAATTCTTTAAATATATTGGAGTACTATTCTACTATATGTATAGTTCAAATAGAGTTGCCTGGACACTTCATCAACCAATGCTTGTTATGTATTTGCGACTTAGGAGTGTCAAATGAGTGAATTGAGCTACATTTAGGCCGGTTTAAATGGTCGAATCGATCAATGGATTGGGTTATAACCCGTTCAACATGGATTGAATAAAAATATTTTTTATTTGTTATAATCCAATCCACCCAACTTAAAATATTTTCAATTTCTTTATTTGTTTACATACCAAATCAACTACTAAGAGCTTTTTCTTTATTTATCATGACATAATCACGCAAATGAAACTCAAAAAAGCCCATTTTCAATGCTTTGATAAGTTTCCTCAAAAATATTTGGGCTATATATGGATGGAGCTCAAATTTGCCCAAGCTTTAAAATGGCTATGTTGGGCTATCGCCATTCTGATCCGTCAGTGGATATATACCCAGCCCAATCCATTTAAAGCTGGGCCCAATTATATTTTCATGCTCTAAATTTGATACCCATCCTGTGACGTATAATTCATAATTAGGGCTACTCAAAAAGTTGTGTTGTGCTAGTTCCTGTGCAACAATTAATGCGTAGAAATCCTCAAATAAACAAGTTAAGCTCACCATAAGCGCTAGAATTGGCGATGAGGTCATACTTGATGGCATAAATATTCACATACACAATGGTGGCGTCTTTCATTTGGAGCCTCAGCTGTTCACAAAGAGCGCGCAACTGATTATTAAATGCATCTGCAGCTTCGTTCATAGACTTAATGCATCCATAATCGTTCAAATTGCTCCCATTTCTTGTGGCAAGCTTCTGTGGCAAACAACCCAAGGGTCCTGTGTTATGAACCCAGAAATTCTTCCCACCGTTATTGTATATGCCCTGCATTAATTAGTTTTTCTTAGTTAATGGGGAAGATCATAAATCAACAACTCAATTTACTTTGGTTAACGAGGGGAAAAAGAAAAGAGAAAAGGATCAAATTAGCCTGTGTACTATTTGAAATTGGGCGATTTTTGCCTTCCATTAGACTTTTGGTCTCATGTTACGTCCACCATTAGGATAAATCTCATTTTTTTGTCATTAAGTCCGGATGGAACTCCAATTTGAGGGTAATTTTGAACGATAGTCAAAAAGTTAAGGAGTAAATTTATACTTTTTAATTTTCTTGAAAATTTGGACACGTGTAGTCCACCTACTTTACGCCGGAATTCTTTTAATAAGAAGAAAAAATATGAGACTATTTGCTAACAAATGGACAAATGAAAATCGCACCAAACCGAAAAGTCAAACCAAATCGATTAAAAAACCTGACTAGGTTTGGTTTGATTTAGTTTGATATTGAGTAAAAAAACCTGAACCAAACCGATATATAAATATATAATTTTTTATATATAATTTTAGGACTTTATATAAAATTTTATTTAAAAGCTATTTAGAAATATTTGAGATCATCTCATGGGATATAATATTTAATAGAACTATAAAGTGCATTCATTTTTATTTACTTTAAACAATAGATTGTATCACTTTTTTATTATGTGTTATTGAAATACGGCAATCATCTCTTTGTTCTTTCATATTCATATGTCAAGATTTATTATATGTTTTGAAGTGGTATTTCGATAATCTAAAATTACATATAACATATTATTATTTAGGTATCATATTGATTTTTATGTTTAATTATTCAATTTGGTTACCCCTGAAAGCGTACATCAACCAAAAATTATTGGTAGATGACTAAGAAAATAAACTATTATGTGTTACTAAAACAAATTCTCCCATAAGATCACTTTAATAGATCATATGTTTGTTATTTTTTTTTTTAATTTTTAGTTAACATATATTCACTTATCAAAATTTTATCTATAACTTTAATAATGCAAAATTAAAATAATATTCATGTAACAAAAAAACTCGAAAAATCAGACAAAACCGAACCAATCAAAACCGATATAAGTGGTTTGGTTTGGTTTTGATAATATCCGAACCAACCCGGTCCATATTACCATATACACCCCTATGTAGCATAGAAAAAAAATTGAGCAATTTTGGATGTTATTGACAAATTGGGACCTTTACCCTAAGGAAAAAAGACTCACCCAGATTGCAGCTTGAATCTCAGATATGAAAGAAGGGATCTTTTCGAGAACTTGAGAAGCTTGTGAAAGGTACGAGAATGCATTAGCAATATCATTCTGTCCTATGTCTATCATGTAAATTGCATTCTTGAAATCTTCTTCAGCCAAGTCTTTCAGACCTTGTCAAATTAAAAGTTGAACAATTAGCATATTAATTGAGGTTAAGGGGAGTAAATACGTAACAATATACTAGTAGTAAATTACCTTTGGATTGTAACTGAAGGGACCGCGCTTTGAACCTTATAAATTGAAGAACTTGAGTACTCAGAGTAAATAAAGCATTTTTAGGGAGTGTAGTTGCACCTCCTATTGCAAAATTTACTCCGTTATTGAAATTTGGTTTTACAGATTCCAGATATGGACTCAAATAACTCATGTTCAGACTCTCACCTGTCAGCATGTATCACACCAAAGAAAAATAGTTAGCGTTTGTCACTGAATCTTTTGACTAATGATTTTGGCTAGTATTTTATTAATAACCACATTACTCTCTCATTCATGTTGAGACAAAGAGCCTTAGGGGCTTGAATATAAACATGTATCCTATTCATGATTAGGAGTGCCAATTTTAGCCCAAACTCATTTGGTCCGTTCAAGGTTGGGTTGGTTATTGACCTGCCCATTTGTTGAACGTAGCTCATCTTAACCTAACTTATTTCAGTTCATTTAAAGTTTTGCTAAAAACAAATTAATTCATGAGTAACATTGCTAAAATATTTTAAAAATAACTTTTTTTGTTTGATATATTATATATGACCATAACAAAAGAAAAAAAGTCTTATTTGATAGATATACAATTCATAAGAAAACAATACACATCAATTAAAGCTTAGTAAGAGTTGGACGGATTGGCCTATGACCCAAATTTTAGCCCATCTTGACCCAATCCATCTCAGCTCAAGTTACTTTTGAGCGGGTTAATGACCTGTCCACTTATTGACTCAACCCATTTTGACCCGCCCAAAAATAGTATGATTTGCTCATTTAACACCCCTATTCACGATAGAGATATAGATTCCGTGAAAATATTATTCAACAATTTAAAATTTGAAGATATTACATAATACTCTTATAAACATTTGACGGATAAATATTCTTCACCTCTATGTAGTTGAAGTGATTATAAAACCATTTGTTATTAAAAACTAAGCATGCAGGCTGCATATGTGGTCGTAAGAATGGAGAATTGACAGTACCGAGATATTATTCACGGGCTCGACCAAAAATAAAATATAGTCTAAGTAAATATAGTACGGCGGAGGTAAAAAGTCTGAATGCGAGTTTGGTAAATCTAATAGTGTAACTTTTATTCAAATAGTGTATTTATTTTCAATATTTAATTAAATATGTGTATATACTTAATTTAGAATTTAATTATTAATTATGAAGTCCTCGTTTTAAATTTCAGAACTAATAAAATTTAAATTTTGGCTCCGCAATATTTAAAAGTACTATTTCCTCCGTTCACTTTTACTTGTCCACTTTTGGTTTTGCACACCCCTTAAGAAATAATAAATAAAGTGCATAATTTAGCATGATACTCATATTAATTGGTGTATAGTCTTAATGAATTTGAAAAATGATTTGGAATGAATAATTAATGTTAAGGGCAAAACAAGAAAAATAAATTATTTTTCTCTTAATATGCGAAAAGTGACAAATAAAAATAAAATTTTATTTTTAGAATACTCTACGACTAAAAGTGAACGGATGGAGTAGTAGTGTATATATTTAAAGAAAACGAAAGTAGAATGTTTTCTTACCATATTGTTTCGCGGGGGGTAAAAGAGAGTTTGTTATGTACACAAATATGAATACTGCCAAAAGAAACTTAAGGAAGTGGATGCAAGTCAAGTTGCAATGTATCTTTTCTTAAAACTAACTAAACTCATTCCTAAAAATTGTTTTTGGTGCAGAAGTCTGTAAATTTATATGCATCATGCAGCTTGGATGTAATGATTTCCAAAATATAATTACACTTTCACACATGCACATACGGAATAGAATGTTGAGTATTTCCCGAAAAGATCAAAGTATCTAACTTTAAAAGAAATTCCAGCAGTATTTCTTGAATGAGTTGATCAAAACTATTCTAAGAAAGCTGAGGGATATTGATTGTTTACCTACCTGGTATATACTTTCACGGGTTAAAGGATTGCTTGTGAAGAGTGACGTGAAAAACTCCGCATAAAACCAATATATGTGATGATATTTGACTGGGCAAGAAGTTTAGTTATAAAAGAAAAAAGAATTTTTGAAACTTGTAATCTAACAAATATTCATGTGGTTGTGAATAATTTTATTAAGGATAAAATGAATAAAATTAAATTATCACTAAATAAAAAAGTATCATTCTTTTGAGGACTAACTAAAAAAAAAGAGTCGCATAAATTGGGACAGAAATCAAATATCGGTTGCATATGGCAGAGACATTTTACTTGGAAGCAAGTAATTTTGATGCATTGATGTCGAAAAAGAATAATATATATTTATATGTGAAAACAATTTAACTTTAAACTCATCGTTTCATGTTTAATAGAAATTTTTATGGTTACACAAATGTTACGACATGTTTAAAGCACAAATTCAAAATAACTTTGGTTCTTTCTTAAACTCCAATTTAAGCTACTTTAGATAAATTGGAATTTCAGGAACTAACAAGTTTTACGAAAAAGAGCAAGAAAGGCTTACAAAGGAAGTCAAGAATTATTCGTCCATCACATAATCTATCAGATGGCTGATCATGAAAAAAGGTACGACCATCTGGAAATCCAAATCTGATTCCATGGGCAGCCGCGTAACCACCTGTGTCTGAGTTTGAGTCTCCAAAATTAAAAATCACCATATTTTTGCTACACTCACAAACAACAACGTTGGCCAGTTGAGAGATGCACAACATCGAAAAACAAGCAAATAATACAAACGTAGAATTTGTTCTACTACTAGTTTTCATCTTCATATATACTTGCTCCGTTCTTTTATAACTGAGTATATTACACATCTTATGATAGAGCCAATATATAGAAAAATCAAGGACCTAGCACACACAAATGAGATTAAATTACTTGATTTTTTTTCACACGAAGTGGAGCAATGGATGGAGTAAGAGAGCANAGACATTTATATGTGCTTATTAATTCTTGTTCACAGAGAAAAACGTCGTCAGATAGGTTTTTTTTTTTTTTTTTTTTTTTTTTTTTTTTTTTTTTTTTTTTTTTTTTTTTAACAACTGTTGAGGAGAATCATAATTGACAGAATAATGATTTTAAATTGACATTGTCCACTTGCGTTCACGAGATTGCATAGCGAATTTTTACACAATTTCCTAGATAATTAACCAATTCGTGGACAAGTGGACAATTCCACTAAAATCTATGAGTGGTCGCCACTGGTATTAATTAGAATTTCAAACGCATTTAAAAAATTTCCTCAAGAAGTGAGAAATCTCAATGATGGATTTGAGTATTAACTTGTAACAACTAACAATTCTTTGCATGGAGTTTCTTTAATACGCAAATTTGTTGCAAGGTATAAATACTTCCATTATTTGATAAACGATTGAGAATTTAATCAAGAATAGAAATACTATCTTATAGAGCTAATGGCATAAATAAGCAAAAGGCTACCAAATCAGACCACGATTTTTAATTTGCCAGGGCACTTAGATTGCCCTCCAAATATAGCTTTCTTTTTTAATCAGATAAAACGTTTTCATTCATTTTACGTAAATATTGTTGTATTAAATTTTTATTGAGTTTAAATTATATATACAGTTATGTAAGAAATTTTTTATTCTAACACGTTACTCGAAGGATATTTGCAAGTGAATTTTTTTAAAATATGAAATTCATAATCGTTAAAATAAGATAAATTATCTGTTATGACAAATAAGAGTGTCCTATGCTGCTTTATGAAGATTACTCCCATATTCAGTGTTTTTGCTAACCACTTTCGCTATAATAACTTTGATTCACAAGGTCTAGACGGCTCACCGGGCTATTTCTTCCAGAATAACCGGACATTGGCTACCAATAAGTTTTTTGGAAAACTACATTCTATAGTTGTTCCCAAAAAATAATAGGTGGCGAAATATATATTATTTTGTATATTAATAAATATTATACATAAAATATACTTAGTTAATACATAATTAATATATTTTTGTATATTTAACTAACGGATATAATTATTTCTGACTGACTGACCAAATGTGTAATTTGCCCATATTTGTTTTTACTGGTCAACTGGACTACTTAGCCAACTCATAATGTATTTCTCTTACACGCCAATTTTAATAAGACATCTCTAGCAAGATATTTGTGACTCGATATGACTCATGAGCTCATAAAATAACTTGTGTTTTCCGTGATCAGCGGTGGTAAAATGAATAAAAAAATAGTTATTCATCTATATTATCCATTAAAAATGAGTTGAATAATGAACTTTTTAAAAAGAAGAATTAACCTAAATAGCCGCTCACCTAATTTATTAAACTAAAAATAGCCGGTTAATGTATAATATCTATATATATATATATACGTGCCTCGCACATAATACTCTAAAACAGAGAAGAGAAAGATGAAAAAAAAAACTATCTAAGAGTAGATATTAGAAATGTACAACGAAGAATTCGACTAATAGTTAACATAAAAGTTCTAGCCCTAAACGTTCACTTGGCAAGCTCGATCTGACTTGCAAGGGAAGCAATTTCAAGAACCATTGTATGTGATCACCAATGACCCAACATTTAGATGAGATATTAATCTATAGTTAGTAATATTTGCAGGTATGACTCTTCAATCTTCCTGCTTTTCGTCCTTCATGTGAAGGAAAGATTAATTTCATGCAACATGTTATTAAACATAATTTCTTATTCGATAATAATTCAGCTTAGACATGTATACTCTTTATGCTAACTCTTCGTCGGCTTGGACTAAATTGGTTGTGGGCTAAGAGTATGGAAGAGAATTAAAATACACCTTTTTCAAAAAAGTTAATATTGCTTGGGTGATTGTGTGTGTGGGGTTGAGATGGAGGTATTAGAAGGAGGACAGATATCTGAAATTTAACAATTAACATACTAATTTATATAATTGATAAAGAGAGCGTGGTAAGAAAAGGCTTCAATCACATACCAGCAACATTGGGACATCAATCACGCAAATTTGATTATTTGAATTACGGCTTATTGAAAAATTAGGTGTTGGTACATCTTATTTAAATACATGTCAACAATATAGGTGTAGATTAAGACCTATGGCTATGGGCATGGAGTTGTACATTGAACTAACTAAATTGAATTTTAGCAAAAAAAGGAAAACAAATTAAATAATTAAAAAACAGTTTGCACTGTTTCTTCATTCTGTGCTTTCCATTTTACGTAGATCTCATCGATAATTCCTGCTTCTGCTTCACTACGAGGCTCCATAAATGGCGTCCGCGTCTTCCTCCATTTCTAGATCCAACACTTCCCTTCCTTCAGTTTCTTATCCTTTCCTAGAATTTCCCCACATTGCATCCATTTCCATTCGCAATAAGTCGTTATTCCCTTCTCAATTCACCCTCAAACGTACCAGAAATGCTTCTCTTCGTCCACGTATCACAGCCCAGCTCTCTCCAGGTCAAAACTTCACCTCCGCCCCTCCCCATTTACTGAATTGATTTTTCAGTTTCTAGAGTATTTCTTAATGGTACGTTGGTTTATTTCTGTTTCAGATTATGTCCCTGATTCAAAATTTTACAAAATTGAAGCAATCTTAAGGTGACCTAACTCACTTTTCTTATGGACTACTCTCTGTTTTATTTAATTTATTCTACCCTCTTCCCGTTCTCCCTGCGGTTTTGTAATTTGCATGATATTTTTTTTTTTTTTTTTTTTTTTTTTTTTTTTTTTTGCCTATTTCAAATACGTCTGCCAAAATTTGGAATGGATCAGACCATGGAGGATTCAACAGGTTTCTTCGGTAAGGACTAGCACTTGCCATGTGCATGCTGCTTTTACAAATTGATTTTAGTTTTGTTAATTAGGTAGTATTCAATCAATCAGCTAAGCCTCGATACGAAATTATTTAGGGTCAGCTATATGAATTGTCTATATCAATATGCTCTATTTAGGCTGTATGTAAGCATTAGAAGGCTAGCATCATTCAATATTCAGAAGAATTGTTGTAGTTAGACTATTTTTATGCTAGTAGTCAAACTACTACAGGCTTACTCCTTTATCGGAGTTGGGGCCGGCTAGGCTTGCAAAGCTCAGAAAGACTGAGTTAGTATTTTAACTAGTAATGAACACTGAATATAAAATGTAGGCTAAAATCTATATCTGGAAGCTGAAAAGATTTACAAAGATTTTGAGGATTTATGTCGTAAAATGACATTTATCAATTCTGGAAGGAGAATATGTTTTCCAGCAGCACTTCAATTCCGTTTACAAAATTAAGAAACTATAAAATGATGGAAGTAACATTAGCCTTCATGATCTATGGTTAAAAAGCGGATAAGTCTGCTTAACACAGTAGAATGTCTGTAGTTGTTGTTACTGCTTTTTCATGCAAGATGGACTCTAAAAATCTGATGTAGTAGCTTTCCATTATAGAAGCTTTTGACTAGGCGTGATCTACTTTAACAAGATCTATGGCATTTGAATGTTGATTGCTATGCCTGCGTGTTTGTATCAAGAATTTGAAAGATACTTTAGACCCCACGTCTAAAACACCATTTTATTACTTCGTCAAAGGTGCAAACCTTTGTTGTCTTACCCACATTTCCACTTTTTTTGGTTATAGTCTTATACTTGTTCTTCTTTGCCCTTTGACTCATTAATGACACGAGTGTAGGAGATTATCTCGAAGTACCTTGATAGGCACGCTTGCAGGGGTTAATCCCTTTGCCTTTTCAGTGCCATCTAGGTTCTGAAAAGTATTGTAATGATAAGCCATATTAATTGTTGTTGGTTAATATTTATTTTCCTAATCTTTCTCATAGTTCATAGTCAAACCAGAGCAAAGACCTAGTCTTGTGAACGATATAAATTTATTGTTTCGTTCTCTCCGCGGCAGTTCTACCCTGTTTCTATGGATATCTATCCCATAAAGCAATATAATTCACAAATTTCACATGCAAATTCAAATTCCATTGGTTCTTGTGATGTGTCCTTCAAAGAGGTTATCAGTGTGCACATTTGTTCATTAGTTTGTACGTTCTTGACACATAGCACCCCTGTTGCTATTGATCTTTTGTAGATTCTGTGATTTCTATTCTGAAGGTGGGAGGTTTTGTGACTTATAAGTTGAAAGGATATACAAGAGGAACAGACTTAATGCCAATTATATAGCCTTGTACAGTAGAGTCCACATTTTTCTAAGAACGTGTTAGAATTCATTTCAGAATTTCCTGTAAGGTATTTCAGTACTGTACTTTTTTCCTTCAAAGTTAAAAGGTGCCTTTACTTGTACTTTCTGAAACATGAAGTCACTATTGAAAATGGGCATTCGTGGCATCACGGTTTCTGATGTTCGTGGATTTGGCGCTCAAGGTGGCTTGACAGAGAGACAAGCTGGTATGGACATATTCATTGATTTAGCTGCTCCTTATTGAGCATTGTTGTGCAATTCTGAGGCTTTGAGCCTTTGATATATCTGCTCTTTGCAGGCTCCGAATTCTCAGAAGACAAGTTTCTTGCAAAAGTTAAGATGGAGATTGTTGTGCGCAAAGACCAGGTTTTGGACTAAATTCCTGCAAGCCTACACACACACACACGCACTATATATATATATATATATATATATAGTGCGTGTGTGTGTGTGTGTGTGTGCGCACATATATATTCATACAAAATTTTTGATCCTTTGGGAAATTATTTCAGTTTTCCTGTGTGGGATGGAGCCTTCTTTGCCAAAATAATGGTCATCCCAAACCTGTACCCCGAAATTGTTCAGGGAAACTGTTCTTTTGACCCTTAAGTTTTTAGTCCTGAATTTTGGTGATGTGACTTATCATTTTGCTTAAATTTTTAAAGGTTTATATTTGGATTCCTCCATTTAACTTTTTCTGATCTAGCTTCCCATGCTTTTGAATGATGCCCTGATCTAGCCTGTTGTACTGCCGTATTAGGTTGAAGCTGTCATAGCAAAGATAACTGAAGAGGCAAGAACTGGTGAAATTGGTGACGGGAAGATCTTCTGTAAGTGTTTCTTTTCATAACCCTGGAATTCAACAGTTATGTTGCACCAAAGAAAAGACCCAAAGGAAAAAAAAAAAGAAAAGAAAAAGATAGCCAACTCATGCTTATAATTGTGCTGGGATTTCTCCAACCAGGCTTGAGTTTGACGAGTTAAAGTTTCTTTAATGAGGCTACTGCCTACTATTTTGGTAGTTTCTCCTCAATGAATCTCATGTTTTTCCTTGTAATGTTGCAATCTTTGTTGGGATAGGTGGAACTCAAAGCCTTTTAAATTCTGTGCTGGTGCCTATCTGGCAAAGATTTATATTCCAATGACAAAGGTGGTATAGATATTTTAACTGTTTCTATATATAGGAAGCCTTTTTTTATTTTTCTTCGTCTTTTGGTTCTGGTCTAGTTGTGACTTGAAAGAATATCTCCAATTGGTCATTCCTAACATGGGCTTATATAGGGGAATCTTAGAAAATATGTTACACATGTCGTAATTGTGGCTTTTTCTATGATAAGATTTAGCCTAGATAGTTATTGTTTCTAAATTTTGTATTAGCTGGTAATATTCTGAAATTCTAATACATTTAATATTAAGTAGTAATACCAAGAGACCCTTCTGCTAAGATGGTTGGTTGACTAAATAGCCTCCAACCTTTGGCTTATCACTGAGCGATTCATACTGTTAATGAGTCCTATGATCTTCTACTGCTTAACCAATTAATCAATTAGAACTGTCAAAGGTGCTATTGATAAGTTCAAGTTTCATGGGGAAGGCAATTTAGACTGTCTAACCATAGGAGAAATATCACATGGAACTGCTTGTCACTGCCACATAGAGAGATATTAGAGATATGCTTCATATTCGTGGAAAAAGGAAAAAGAGATATGCTTCATGTTAGAATAAGGAATGTGTCCAAACGATAATGCCATATAACATCTTGTGACAGTAAGCTTGCAGACATGATATTTCTGTAAACCAGTAGTAGAAGATGACTTATCCAGAACATAGGATGGATTTACAATGGAAACGGCTGTGTCACACTTATTTATGTACATCATCAGAATTATAGAATTCAGAACTGCGTAGACTATTTTCAGACTTGTGGTTTGGTGAAGGAACATCAGTATGTGATGAACTTGGTAGGAGTTGTAGGAGATACAAGCTGCTTGCAGCTTCACCAAGTACCAATGGCCTCCTCATTGAAGGGGGCCTGTAGCAAGCAAGCGGAGTGAGTAAATATGTGTTGTATAGGTAGTTAGTCGAACTTGGTAAATAACGGTGGATCTCTCTAGTAAAGTCATATACACAGCTTATACATCTTTTTAACTCTGGCTTACTGTTTACTGTGAAGTGTGCCATGGATTCTGGTAGAAAAAAAAAATGTAAAGAAAAACACATCTCTTTGATCTTAATTGTTGCTGTTCAGCTATATCTTGTATTCATGGTGGGAGACAGTGTTCTGGAGTTGGATTTACAACAACGATAACAACACCCAATCTTATCCCACACCGTGGGGTCTGGGAAAGGTAGTTTGTACGCAGACCTTACCCCTACCTTGTGAGGATAGAGAGGCTGTTTCCAATAAACCCTCAGCTCAGGAAAGCATAGGAGTTGGATTTAATGAAGCATAATCTTCAGATCTAAAAAATATTTATGCTCATCATAGACGAGTTATCTTGTCTAGTTTTTCTCTTTCTTGATGTTTGTATTTTCATGCGGGTCCGAAAGAACAAGAAACATGTTAGACGTCATTGTGATAGGAGATTTCTAGAATATGCTGAATTACTTTTATTTTGCTTTTGCAGTAGTTCCCATCTCTGATGTGATAAGAGTTCGCACTGGTAAGCATGTTGTAGAGCATTACAAGTGCTACTTAATTGTCACTGCATCTTGACTTATCCTCTTAACTTCACACCATTTCAGGGGAGCGGGGAGAAAAGGCAGAGAGGATGGTGGGAGGGCATGCTGATATATCTTCGTCTGTGTCAACTTCTTGATGCAGCTCGGTTGACGTTAAACGTACCATCTTTTGTTATGTGTTTATCTGTGAAACTCTAAGCTTCATTTTATCACTATGAAAAATGCTGTCAATAGGTTGGACTATGTCATTTACCTTTTTGATTTGTTTAAGAGTTACAAATTAGACTTGCAGGAAAGTCCTTTTAATTTCAGGTTAGTTAAGCTTGGTAGCCTCTGGCTTACATTAGGCTATTCTGAGTTTTCGGACAGTGCCTTTTACCGTGGATGTGCTCATTTCAAAAGATCTGTGTATGCCTCTGCTGTAGTTGAATCTATGTTCATATATTTTGTTTAATCGGTCGAGAACATAGCACGATATCATATTAGTTTCAGAATTCAAGTTGGTAGCTAGTTTCTGTAGTTGTTCGCCCTCTATCCTAATTATTTAAATGTGTAAATGATATTTTAGTTTATTTAAGCTTTTGAAAGAAATAGGATTTCTTTAGATGAAACAGAGCAGCGTGCAAAAAACATGATTTGGATTTCATCTTTCCAAAGGAATCTCTCTAGTCTCTCCCCTTCATTTATTAGTGTTTTAGTATGAAATATAAAATTGTAAAGAAGATTTTGAATTTTGTGATTTAAACTAAATTATACAAATGCGACTTTTTTTATTAAAAAGGAGAGTAAGATATATCTATATCTATCTATCTATACTACGTTATATTAAAAGCACGACGACCCTTAGCGAAAATTGTAATTCAAGTACTTTCCTAATATTTAGGACGTTGAAATCAATTAAAACTTTGCATATAAAATTTTTCCTTATTAGACTAGGTAAAGAAAAAAAAATACATAAGTACTTTACCTTATATATATTATACTAATTGAAAATAGATGAGAACTTTTTATACGGTGCTTTGAATTGATTTCTAATTAAATTGAAATATGAGGATATAAAATCACGTATTAAATTAAATTTTTTTAATACAATAGTGTCTACATTAAAATTATTTTAGCATGGAACAATTAAATGTGCATTTTGAAAATTCTTATTTTAGTCATATAATATAATTAATCCATGTTCAATTAAGCAACCAAAATAATTATTTGATAGCATATTTAATCATACTAAATCGTAAAAGCCTAAATCTATATTATAAAAGCACGAAACCTCTACAAGAAATGTTGATTGACTTTTTATTCTTTAAAATAAATTTCATATTGAATAAAAATATAATTTAAATATTTTACTAATGTTTAGGACTTTAAAAATTAAAATTTTATTTATTGAATATTTTTAAACTATATAGGAAGTATAAATATTTAGAACTTTAAAATGGATTAAATATTATAAATAAAATGTCTAATTAATATGCACATACACACGCAGTGAATTTCAATAACTTTTCATAGTAATTTATTTGCCCTATTAAATTTTATGTTTTAGCAATGCTTTCTTTGCCACACACGTTTCGATAAAATTATATAAATCATAATTATTTTATCTCAGCAACTAAAACCTTACTATTTGGGTAACATTGAAACCTTTGAAAGGAGATAAATTGAGAACATAAGATATATATTTTTTATTTATGTTATATGATTTTTTTTTAAAGAATCATAATAAAGGTGCTAATTAAACATGTTTGTGTATTCTCAAGTGAACTTGAAAATAGCTTTTGAATAATATTTTCAGAAAGAGTTTAAAATCTTCTAGGCTGTGTTTTTACTGAAATTAAAAAGGAAGCACAATAACTGGTAAAATTGAACTGATAAAACTAAAAAATTAGAACAAAATTTAAGACGAATATATTGAATAATGATTGAGGACTTTTGTGAACAAAACTTTTTCTTATTGAGTTAGCTATATAGGATTAATATTTAATAATTTTCACTTTATTTTATATTTAAAAATATATATCTAATTTTCTTACCAAAAATTACTTACTAGATAGGGAATACGCGCATCGCGCGTACACTAAAACTAATTATATTAAAAGCACAAAGACCCTTAGCGAAATATCGTTCATGTTTTTTACCCAATAAAAATCGAGTTCACACTGGACGAAATAGTCATTTAGTTATTTTCCTAATATGTAGGAATAGACATTTAATAATTTTTCTAATATTTAGGAATAATATTTTAATTATTTTCTTCTATTTATAGATAATCATTTAATTCTTTCTCAAATATTCAGATTTTTGATTTGGAATATCATGTTATTAAATTTGAGTCCTTCACTATGAACTCAATTTAGATTTAAAATTATTAAATTTTAAACACTTTATGAGTGTTTACCCGTAAAACGGTATAATTAAATTTATAGCATAGTTTATAGACAAGCGAATCGATTTGATCCCAAAACGATAAATAAATTAAATAAAATGCAAGACTTAGCGTTGAAATCGAGATAAAATAGCAGACGACTTGGTTCCGAGAGCAAGGCTTCCGAAGGCAACAACAAGGATAACGTTAGACAGAAAATAAAATATTATTCAGTATGGAATAATGTGTAGCATAAGTTTATCAGAATTTTCGTGTCTTATAATGATTATTGAAGCCACTATTTATAGTTATACCTAGGGAACAAGGTCTTAAGATCACACCCCTCTTAAATAAAAATAATGGGGGTCATTGATAAATATGTAACGGCAGGCCATGAATGCCAAAAGTCTTTGTAACGGTTGTGTTATTTAATACTGAGGAATATTCTTTACTAAATGTCATCTAATAACAAACATTCATTTGCTTCCGTTGACTGTGTTCCCTTCGGGATCTTCCCGGTGCCAACTAAAGTTGTTGTCCTCGAACCTGATTTCTACTCGCTTCATCTTTCATCTGCCTCCAGTTTCACGTACCACGCTATTATTCGAGCATTTAATATAAACCAATTTTACCCTATACAAGTCCCCCTGCTTTCCGGTAGCACATCTTTGTGCCACCGAAAAGTTGGTGAAGATTCCTTTCTTGGCGAAAAATTTTCTGAACCCTTTTGAAAAGTTTCTGACGCTTGATAAGACATACATCTCCTCGCATTTAATACCCCAAACATATGTTACTCCATGATTTACCAATCTTTTCGCCGGTTCTCGAGATAATCATGGCCACGATTTTAGTCGCCTATTCCTTTACTTATACGCCTCATTCTTCTTCTTTTTCACTTAATAGTTTCACAAACTCTCTCAATTTCTTTGCATTCAACTCTTTTCTGCTTTCACTCTTTCTTTATTCTTCTTTAAAAACTCTTATCACCTTCTGTTGATTATGGCTTCTTTCACTAACTCTTCCAAGAGCTCCGGTCTTCTCTTCAGTAGGGGTCCGAAGAGGAGCAAAATGTCACGACCCGAAATTTCTACATTTGGGATCGTGGTGGAACCTAACATTTCACTTGCTAGGCAAGTCAAAGTTAGAGGATCTTTAAGCCAATTTTTAATCAATTCAAATAAGTAAAACCAATTAAGCCGAAATGAAACAAAAACGGAGTACAAAATAACAGAAAACCAATAATATCTAAGTACAATCCGGATCTGGAGTCACAAGTTCACGAGCTTCTAGAATCTCTACAAAATAGGGTTTGAAATAAATACAACTGTCTCGAATAAAAAGAACAGTAAATAGGGAAAATGGAAGGGGACTTCAAGGTCTGCGGGCGCCAGCAGATCTACCTCGAGTCTCCAAATGCCAATCCGAGCTGGTACGCCTCACGGACAGCTGGGATCGGTACCAAAATCTGCACAAGAAGTGTAAAGTATAGTATGAGTACATACGATCCAATATACTCCGTAAGTGTCGAGCCTAACCTCGACGAGGTAGTGACGAGGCTATGACAAGATACCCACGTAATTAAACCTGTACAGAAGGAAATATACGTATAAAATAACCGCAAATAAAGAATTAACAAGTATAATTGGGAGGGGACATGCGAGAGGGGTACAAGATACGATAACTACAACAAGGAATAATAACAAGAATAAGTCAATAAACCTTCAATCAACAAAATGAACAAGCATAATGAATAAAACTGCACGGCATCACCCTTCGTACTTTTACTCTCAGCCTTACTATGAAACAGTAATAACGGCACGGTATCACCCTTTGTGCTTTTACTCTCAATCTCACCATAAAATGATAAATACGGCACGACATCACCCTTCGTGCTTTTACTCTCAATTTTATCATGAATCAATAGATATGGCACAACATCACCCTTGGTACTTTAACTCTCAAATATGGTACGATATCACCCTTCATGCTTTAACACTCTCCCTTACCGTGTAACAGTGAACATATAACAATATGGAGATGGAATAAGCAATATCAAGTCTTCTGTAAACAATAGTTCCACAATACCAATCTCAACTTCAGAAACAATACTCAATTATCACAGATAGTTCATAAGTACGAAAAGAACGATCAATTTATCAATTAACTAGTCTAAGCATGGATATCAGGACCAAAGAATGAGATAAATTATGATAAATAAGTCTCACCCGCATGCTTTAACCCAATAACAACGCATAAGTACTCGTCACCTCATATATATGTTGTATCCAACACTTAAAAAAGTAGCAAATAGGCAAACAAGTCCTAATCTCTCAAGTCAAGGTTAACCACGACACTTATCTCTCTTCAAAGACCAACTCAAAGCTCAATTACGGCTTTGCCTTTCAAACAAGCCTCTGAACCAACCAAATCTAGCAAATTATCAACCAAACGATTCAAAATAAGCCGTAGGAACTACCCACGAATGAAAAAGGTTCAATTTAGGTCATTATTAAAAAAAGTCAACTCCCAGACTCGCTTGGTCCAAACCCGAAATTCGTACCAAAACACGATTACCCATTCACCTCCGAGCCCGGTTATGTAATTTGTTTCGAAATCCGACCTCAATTTGAGGTCTAAATTCCAATTTTACAAAAATCCCTAATTCTTTCCAAATCCCCAATTTCCACCATGAAAATCCTAAATTTTAGGTTGAAATCTTATAAAATGAAATGGAAAATTGAAAGAAAATAGGTTAGAATCACTTACCAATGAATTGGGGAAGAATGACTCTTGGGGAAATCGCCTCTAGGGTTTCTAAGTTTGAAAATTTGAAGAATGAGAGAAAATCCCGTCTAACTCAGATTTTGATCATGCGCAGATGTCGCAATTGCGACCTGGGGTTCACAATTGCCTACCCCGCAAATGCAAAAAAACTATCGCAAATACGAAGCCTTCACATTCTTGCTGCCATCACAAATGCGAACCATATGTTCGCAAATGCGAAACCGAGGGGATCGTAAATGCGACCCCAGATCTCGCAAATGCGTAAGTCCACCCCCATGCCCCTGCTCGCAAATGCGAAGTCTTCTTCGCAAATACGAGGCTCGCATTTGTGATCCAGACCTCAT